ACAGGTTGCATTTCACCCCGTCATCCAAATCACTGATGAAGAAATTGAACAGCACTGCCCACTTCCCCCCAGGTGAAATATGACCCGTCCACCCCCACCCTCTGAGTAGGACCCTTGAGCCAATCTGCAATCCATCTGATTGTGTAGGCATCAATGCCACAGTCGCCTAGGATCACTTGTGATCCTGATGGTTGGAACTCAGCATTCTCAACTGGGGGATCTATCTGCTCCCCCTTGTGGTCATCCAGACCCTCCATTTAGTGAGCTTCCAGGTACAAGTGGGGCCTTCTGGTTTAATGAGGTGTAAACTAATGGCGTGTGAATCACGGCACTCTAAGGCATTTCTTTATTACACTGTTTTCCTACCTGGTGGTTTATGTGTGTTCTATCATATGATTTGCTTAGCTTGTTTTGTTTATTTTATGTATTTTTTCAGTAGTGCTTACTTGTGAAGGCACAGGGGTTGGGAACTATATTTGAGCTGCCCATAATGACTTCACAGATTGTGTCGATTATTTTTTTACCAGATACAAAATATTGTATGTCGTCGTGAATGTTGACTACAGCTAAAAATTAAAAACTAGGGGATTTCGGTGCTTAAAGTTTATCCACGATATCAGCTCAGTCAAGTTGTACAGCCTATACCTTTTATAGAACATTTCCAATATAAGCAACTTGGTGTTAATGCCAAGTGCTGGGTGGTGGTTAAATAACTTGGCAATCTCTAGGGTGCCAGTGGCTTTATGCAGAAGAGCATCTCAGAGGGGAGTATTAATCTGACCCCTAGCAGAAGAAATGCCTCCAAAAGGTTGTATAACTGAAGTCTGCTCCATAACTGGGTAGACTAGGATCTTTAACCCTGGTTGGTATCCAGTCTAGGAATGCAGCCCCAATAGATGGACAAATTAGTTATCTCTTTTTACTCTAGCAGCTCCTGCAGCTAAGCTGGTTCTAAATGTGCTGGCACCTGCCTTTCTTTCCCTTGGATTAAACCAGCAAGGCCAAGATGGGGATGCTGGTGTGTGGGCAGCTGCATCTCCATATACTGGGTTTTGCTTTATCTTTCAAACAAGAGTCGCGTTCCGTGAGCTGACGTCTCACTTGGCACAATTCTGTTAACTTGAAGACAGACTGATGCCTACTATTACAGCTTCAAAAGATTGCGGGATGCTATCCGAAGTCCCCATACATCCCATCTGCACTTGGTGTGATGCAGCTTAGTAAAACTTCTCTTAACCTGCTGGCTTTACTAAGCATGCGCTGAAGCATACAGAGTTGTGTAGAGAGGATAATAAAACAGCAGTAGCATCAGGTTCCACTGCCACACTCTCTTGCTTTACCCCTTACCTTGTAAACTAAAGGGATATTCAGTTTCCCCCTTTCCTCAGGAGGTGCAGTGCAGAAGATACATCCGTAGATAAGGGATTACAAATAGGGCTTTTAGTAACTTTTGCTTTCCAAAGTTTGGACTCTTCAACAGCCTAGTGTAGACCCTTTCACATGGAAAAGTTCTAATTTATGCAGTCTTTACAAAGTCTTCTGGGCTTTTCCAAGGCTAAGAGTTATTGGAGTATTCTCTTTAACATGGGACCTTAATTTACCCCTTTTGTGCATATGCATTTTAATAGTCCCTAATTACAGCAACAGTCTGTTTGTTCTAAGGGCTCTTCAATTATTCACTGTGCAGGATAAATAGGGAACTACTTAACTGCTTGCAAAAGATCACGTTTTTAGACCTTGATTTGGGATTCGGGGGAGTTGATTTAATTTTAGCACTACCACAGCCTTGCCTCTAACATAACAGAGAAAGTATGTTCTGCACATGCACAGGAGGACTGAATTAAATTTGCATTGATCAACTTAATTGTCTGATTTTTCTGGCTGGAGTACTTGATACTTTTCTTCTCCATATGTAACAATAAATTGAACTTGGAGCTGCAAAAAACTAAGCAGGTAACTTAGCAGCATAAGACTTTCTTAGTTTTATCAGACTTAGGTTTTATATGAAGAATTGAACTTCCACCATTTTCATCAGAAGACTGGAAGCTCCTTTTTTTTTTTTCCCCTCTGAAGTAGACCCTACCTTTATAGCTCACTTACCACTTGTTTACAGTCTTCATTGAGCAGGACTTTCTAAAGTTCTGTTATCATACGTTTCAAAGTAACATAATTAACCCCAAAACATTATCTGTAGGAACAAGACCAGGTCTTGCTTGCAGTATCAGGATCCTAGCAGATGTTACATATATTGCGTGGTTTGTGTTAACTGCATGATAAATGGCAACGTGCCACACATGCAGCCAGTTTATGGCACAATAAAATGGAATATGAGCCACAAATATGTTCTGCATTAAATGATCCCTTCATAATCAACTTCATTAATTTAATGGAACAGTATGTTTACAAATTACTTTTCTTACAAGTCAACTATATCATATCTGACACACATTCTTTGTATGTAACATACAACATGACTTCAGCGCTAGCACTGTAATATGTTTGCATGTAGAGGCGTGGAAGAAGCTATTCAAACAAAGTTGTAGTCTGTTCTGAAAAATTTACCTAACGATCATCTTAACTTTTGTGTAGTTCATATAAAGCTAGATATGAAACTCCTAGACTGCTTGGTTCCACCTTGGGTCATGAACACAAGAATGGGTTTAACATGTGACTGATCCAGCTGACTTAACTGCAAAAACTGCAAGCCTATGATGCAGCCCCAGCTCCAAACAGTACTGTACCCAGGGAGAGTTGGGAGTTTTTTTTCATATGTTGAAATGCTGGCCACTCCTTGCAGGAGCTGCTCAATTCTTACACTTTTACAAGTACAGGTGATCAGATGACAGTGCAGTTTGCTCCAGGCTTGTGTCTCAAGCCTTTACCTCTTTGTTCAGGTGTCTAGATCTGTGAGACAACAGCTTAAGCTTTGATGAGGGTCTTGCATATTTTTGGTTTAAAATGCTTTTAACACTTTTTAGTCCCAAATTACAAATCCATTTTCTCTTAAAGCTCAGCCTCTTACTTTACCTTGTATTACATGTGATGTGGTTGTCAGTAGCTTTCCTTCTTGAAACTGAAGTGATGCAGCCTCTCTTGCTGAAGGAGTAATAACAGATACTCTGGAATTACATATCCTTTCTTCCAGAACAAATAACTGCACTTTATGATATATTGTAACATTTTATAATGTTCTTCTCATTGTATAGTTTATAGGCAAGCAATAAACAGCAAGATGTTTGAGATGGATATGAAAATTGCTGCAATGCATGTAAAACGAAGGCAACTTCACCAACTGCTACCTAATCATGTGCTTCAGAAAAAGAAAAAGGTAATCCTACTGACAACTTAACAGTGATCTAGTATAATAATTATATTATAATTAATGATGCCCAAAGGTCTTTTGAGCACACTAACAGAATAACTAAAAACAGGTAACAAGGGCAGTTAGATCTATATAAACTGCCCAGAGTTACTGACCTTGCAAGTACAGAAGTACTGTGCTAATGTTGAGGTGTCTGAACTGTTTTTCTTAGTATTGGGGTTACTGGACTGTCTGCACAAAGGAGCTATTATTTGTATTTACATTTTATACTGCTCTTCCTCTATTCTGGAGGCATCTTTGCTGCTGCTTAAGATCCTTCAGTGGGGAACCAGAGGCATTTTTACACATGCTTCCGGAGGTGCGGCAGGAGGGGTGCTTTAATTAGCTAGTGCTTTCCATTAAAAACACCTGAGCATCACATGTATTAGCATCCCCGGCACTGAAAAATGGTGGTGGGATGCCATTTTTTTGAGTCTGCTAGACGGTGTTTATTTCCATGCATTTTTGTTGGCATTATTAAACTCTTTTATAGGTGAATCCTTTAAGGTAATTAAAGCTATTTTGCTAGTTTAAGTTACCATAGAAATTTATCTAAAATGCAGTGCGACCATGGTTTAAAGGTTCTATCTCGCACACAAGTATTTGTTTTGAATTTTTGTTTTAAACTTAATCTTCTAGTTACTTTTTTTATTTTTTCTCAGTAGGTCATAAAACTATTAAGAAAATTTGTTACGATTAAGCAGAATGTTGAGTTCATTGTTGCTGCCCAGTTTTTGTACCTCTCATAATAATTGTTGCTAACATACCTAAAGCTTAAGAGTGTAAAGACTTCCAGAGGTCAGTTGTGCCACTCTCCATGTGCAAGTAAAGGCATGATTTAATCTAATGTGTAATCCACACAGTCGTGCTTCCTGAGATACTATGTTTGTGATCCCCAAGGCTCGGGTACATAAGCTGCAATCCTCCAGGCCTGGCAGTTTCACGCACCCCTGAGCTTCGGGGATTGTGGCTGCTGCAGTTCTCCAGCCCAGTGTTTCATGGTGGGCATGGTATATCGCTGCAGCTCAGCTGTCAGCAGTTGGGACTCCCAGCTGTAAGGGAGACCTGGTGACAAGTGCAAATTTTAAAGCTCCATAACAACCAGCTATAAAGTTAGAACACATTTTCAAGGTCTAACTTTTTACAGCTGGTTAGAGCTTTTTATCATGTGATAAGTATTTTGCACATGTGGCTGGTTTTAACTAGTTAATTGCACAAGTAATCAGTTAATTGAATGATACCTGTAATGTGTAGAGAGGGCCAGGGACTAACAATTTGCTCTAGTTTGGAGGTTGACAACACTTCTATCTTGTTAGGGATTGAAAAATGTTAGGGTTTTTTTGTTGGTGTTTGGTTTGGGTTTCATTTTTTTAATAGTTTTCCTTTTTAAATGTATGATAGTCTGGTGTGACCGTACAAGTAGAATGACAGCATCAATGTAAGACAGAGCTGTCTGGTTATTTTAGATCTGATAAATACACTTAATTTTCAACAGGGAGAAGTATGCCAGGTTATTCAACCCTGAAGTCCTGGCTGTTAACTTGTCAGTGTAGTTCCAAATTGATTGTGTATTAAGTGTTGTCCATTTTTATTTTTACTCTTTCTCCTCTTTCTTTATGGCCCCGACCCCCACTTACTTAACATTTTGTAAGTAGAATTGCAATAGTGCTTCACTGAATTTAATTTGATTCTGAGCCCTTGATGAAATATAAACCACATGATTTATTAATGGGTTAAAATATGTGATTACAGCATTCAACGGAAGGGGTCAGATTGACAACGTTGAATGACAGCAGCCTAGACTTATCTATGGACAGTGATAACAGCACGTCTGTGCCTTCTCCTACTAGTGCTATGAAGACAAGCCCGTTGAACAGTTCTGGAAGTTCTCAGGGGTAACTTTCCAATCCTAACTTGGATAAAGTATGTAATTTAGAAATAGCTGTGCAAGTTAGAGCATGTGCTTTTTCACTTTTTTTTCCAAAGAGGTTATATTTTACTTTTACATTTTACGTTAGACCTACTTTTTTATTTCAAATAAGGCACTGCACTCTCCTTAAGTCCACACTTGGCAAAAGGCTTTTCCATTTTTTTTCTTAGAGTATTATTTGAAATAAGCTGTTTTAGAATCTGTACCTTGACATACAACAAATATGTAGTGCACAGTGGAAGGGAATCCATATTAACTACTTTGTATCATACTATATATATTTTAAATAGCAAGCTTGTCTTTCTTCTTTTGATGAGACTGCACAGCAGCACAACTCTTTGGGTAAACTATCAGGATATTAACAGTATTGAGTACTTCTGAAAGCAGCTCTGTTCAGTTGCTAAGCAAATCGGGTGAGATCCTGATTGGACTAAATTTGTTTTTTTTAAACACTTCATGCATCCCTTCTTGGTGCTGAAAAATCTATAACTCCATTGCCAGCATTAGTTGCACATAATCTCTGTTCCTTAATTGGACAGTTATAAATTTATAGCAGTAATGTGCTCTAAGACTCGTAATTTGCTCACCAGTCTTCTCCAGTGTATTTGCTGCATTCCAGAGGGAAAATGACTGATCAGTTTGCAGTTTTGGAAGGATGTTATCTATAAATTTTGCCTTCATTTTTAAACATCATCAAACTGCTCTTTTTTTTTTAAGAGTTTATTTTTTTATAGAATAATCTACTATTTGAAACCTTTTGCTTAGTGCAGACTTATGATAAGCAAAATCTATTGTGGTAGCTGTATTTCCTTGTTGCAATGAATTATTTTGATATGACAGACTTTTCTGGCCTCATATTGTCTGTAGTAGACAAAATAAGAGCAATCACAGTCTGGCCATGTTGTCACTTTGTGATAAAAGGTGAACTATATATAATACTATATGGATTTTATAATTGCTAGTGCATTAACCCCTTTGCTTTCTCCATTTAGCAGAAGCAGTCCTGCTCCAGCTGTAACAGCAACATCTGTGACCAACTCACAGGCTTCTGAAGTCACTGTGCCACAAACAAATTCCAGTGAAAGCTCAGGGGGTAAGGAAAGTGGCAAAACTATTTGTATTGACTTTGAGGGGGTTTATCAAAGTCAAAGAGAGGGTACGAGCAGTTTCATCCTAAATCAGGAGTGAAATTTACTGCATGTGTTAAAGTTCAAAGATACCAGCATGGGATAGGGTTTATACCTTTTAATTGTATACTACTTGAGACAATATTTTCATGTAACCTTTTTAGAAGTTTTATAAATAGGTCACAACAGGCCATGGACTATATTGAGGCCCAGTCTTATGGGGTTCTCAGAGGCTTCTCTGTAGAAGAGCAGGGATCCTGATTTTTCTCTGCTAAAAAAATCACACATTTTCTGCTTAAAAAAAAAAAAAAACCCAAATCCATGTGAGAGCTCATTGCAAAATGGCAAAATTTACAGGTTTCTCTTGTAAAATCAGAAATCCACATTTGCCTCTGGTAGAAGGCAAAATCCACAGTTTACTCTGTTTTTCCATGGGAAGTGTCAGACCCAGATCCCTGTAGATGAGTTAAAGATTAAAGAAAACTACTTTACCCAGTCAGACTTAGTGCTCAGTCTAGAACATACCGTGAAGCATCTCTGTGATGCTTAGTTTCAGTTCTCAAACTGTATATTTGTGTCTCCAGAGATAACATCCTTGTTAACAGCAGTATATGGAGATGAGAGATAACAGACCTGATTACCTACCCATGAGCCCTGTTGTCTGCAGGTTTGTGTACACAGAGTCAAGCCCTTACTTCTCTTTAAAAGTGCGAAGTTTCAAGAAGTTAAATGAATGGAAGATATAAAACAACAAGAACACACTTTTTGTAGAAAACAGTGATAAAACTGAGGCTTCCTCACCAGTGGTTTAAATAGTGATTTAAATCGTTTTGATTTAAATCATATCCTCCCTGCTGCATGTTCTAACTTGTTTTCTCTTTGAAGTGATTTAAAGATAATTGCTGTTAGCATATTCATTATTTATATAAGCAAATAATTAAACATACTGTTTACAGGAATTTCAATAAGATGTTTATATTATGGCTTTTGTACATAGCCATAATGGATGTAAAATATAGTAAACATTATGTAACTGGCAAATCCCTTAAAATAGATATTTCCTGTAGACTGTAGCAAAGCTGGCTTTGTCCAGGCCTAATGCAAATGATGGTCATGCTTCCACCTATGTCAGAGGGAAAAATGCCTACAACCTAAAGCCTTGAGCATACTATTTTTTATGATGCTAACACTGCTTTTGAATGCAATTAAACTTGGAGGTGGGTGCAAAGTAATGTGGAGCCAGGTTTCTGCTGCTCTTGCTTCACTGGAACCATTTCTGGAACACAGGGAATCCCAATAGACCTCAAACACTAGCCGTGTCAGTGCTTCTTCAAGCTTGCTTATTCCATGTCTGAGCTGAAGAATTAGGAAATTTGGTTCCATAGCGCTGAATAGAAGATATATTTCAAGAAGGGGGTGAAGGCAGCTGCAGAAAATGCTTTCAGTAAAATTCTTGGCTGCCATCTTCACTTGTGTGATAAGTCTTGAACTAGAACAAGGGAATAAATTAAAACTGCTGGAAAAGGATTATCTTGCCTAAAAACTTCCATTCTACTTGGTTTCTCTGTATATTCCTGCAGCAGCCTTTACTAAAGCCATACTGGACCAACCTGGCTTAAATACTTGATGCTGCAACATAAATTGCAATTGTATCTACATTAGTATCATTCTTGTTAGCCAGTGCTAAGTGGAGTCAGGGATGGCATGCTGTTCTGGAATTTAAGAAATGGTATTGACAGAAGTGTCCCTCTTGTTTGCTAATTCGCATGCCTCAATCAGCAGTATGGCTGTGACCCATTAATGTTGATTAGTGGTCTCTGTTGTAATTGTACTTAATGCCTTTCATCCTAAAGATGCCCAGAGGGCTACACTAACTCCGTATGTGTAACCATATTTGGTGGCTAGATAGAAACAGCCAATTGATTCACAGCATGTACTATGGCATTCAGGGATGGGGCACTCTTCTCATGAACATGGAGAATAACCCTAACTCTTAGTGCCCTCACAGAGCAGATAACTTTTTGCCTATGGCTCCCCCTGGATGCTGTAAGATGTGGGTTTTGGTTGATATGATAAAGGCCTGCATTTTTTACTTTTTTTTACGCATTCTGTGTTCTGAACGTTTAGTCACTACATTACCTGTTCTGTCCTCAGCTCCTGTGGGTTTAGATAAAAATACCAGGAAAACAAATGTGTAAAACAAAGTCTGTGAATGTAATGCTAGCTTCATTTAAGTAATTTTAAAATACGTTGTATTTTACCTCTTAGGTACTTCAGGTGAAAGCATTCCTCAAACTGCCACACAGCCAGCCATTTCTCCACCACCAAAGCCTCCCATCTCTAGAGTTCTTTCTTCAACACGTCTGGTAAATCAGACACCAAGAACTGCAGGAAATACAGCAACAAAAATACCAAGCCCTGTTGTTGGGGTGAAGAGAACATCATCTCCTCATAAAGAAGAGTCTCCTAAAAAATTAAAAACAGAAGAGGTATTTTTATTTTTGAGATCATAATTGTATCCAGGCAGCAGAAGTTGTACTATAATGATTGTTGCTTGCATGAAAATTTGATACATGGTAGTATTGCACAGGAACATCTTTTATACAGTGATGCATTTTTTTTCCTTACTCTAGCTGGATAGGCTCTTAACAAAATCTTTTCTCTTAAGTGTTACTGTCATCTTTATAATGTTAAAACACACATACTTCACACCAATTCATTCCAGGACATTTCACAGTGAAAACAAAGAATAAAGAATCGAGTTAATCCAGATTTAACAGATTAAATCTGATACATTATTTTCCATTCTTGTCAAATTTGCAAATTTGAATTACTGTGCGTTTTAGTCTGTTCTGAATCTTCAACCTGTATTTCTAATGCCCATTTTATATGACTGGACATTTACCTTATCTAATTCTGGAAGAACGTGGTAAATGGAAAATGATTCAGTGATCCTTTTCTTTGAAAAAAAAATTTAAGCAGCCTTGGAAGCAATACAATCTCTTTAAAAAGTTAATTACTTTTTCTTTTTGTTAAAAGCTCAATCATTACCTGAAAGTTGCAACACAACTATGTTTTACTGACCATTATTTTTTAATTAAAAGAAGTGTTTGGTTTGTTCATGGGTTCATATTAATACTTTTGTCATTTCAAAGTAGGAGTCATACTTTTGAAATTTAGCTGGAATATTTATAATAGTCTTCACTATTAACCTCCTGGTTGCATGTACTTTGGTTAGTTTAAAGTGTGCATTTTCAAAAGACCCCAAGGGAGATAAACAGTCAGATCTGAATTTCACTTAAGGGAATACATATGTAAAGGGCCTGAAGGAATTTGAATGTGGTATAACATTGACATGATTTAAATGTTTTTATCTGAAGTGTTTTGGATGGCCCCATTACTTAAGTCACCCACACAAATCCTAATAAGGCCTCCATAATGCATGTATATAGTGCAATATAGATGTGTAGCTTACTGTAGGAAATGTTTTCCAAGCATTTTATTTTATTCTTTCTTACTATCTTCCTTTACCTTTTTTGGCTTATTTACCATGAGTCTAATTGTACAGGCTTTTGGGGGAAAAAACTTGTAACAATTTTAGAAATGTCTAAAAATGACCCACCATCATGCTCCCATTCTGAATGTCAGAATTTTCAGGTCTGATGTCTTGGGATTTTCAAAACCTGGAAGCAAGTTCTGTGCCCTATTGAAAGTGGAGCTTTCTATTGGGGTATAGTACTCATTTATTATCTTAAATGGTTTGAGATAGATAGAACATTAAATCTC